CGGGCACACGTGCACGAGCCCGGCCACCGAAATCGGCGACGTAGGTCACCTACACATATGGAGGGTGGAGCGTTCCAGCGAAAAGACGCTCGTTCGAGCGAAAAGGTAATCCGTTCAAGCGAAAACCAATCGAGCGAAAACCAATCGGGTTTGGACAGAGCAGCAGAGAGCACAGAGCAGCAGAGATCACAGAGCAGCAGAGAGCACAGAGCAGCAGAGAGCACAGAGCAGCAGAGAGCACAGAGCAGCAGAGAGCACAGAGCAGCAGAGAGCACAGAGCAGCAGAGCACAGAGCAGCAGAGAGCACAGAGCAGCAGAGAGCACAGAGCAGCAGAGAGCACAGAGCAGCAGAGAGCAGCAGAGCAGCAGAGCACAGAGCAGCAGAGAGCACAGAGCAGCAGAGCAGCACAGAGCAGCAGAGAGCACAGAGCAGCAGAGAGCACAGAGCAGCAGAGAGCACACAGAGCAGCAGAGAGCACAGAGCAGCAGAGAGCAGCAGAGCAGCAGAGAGCACAGAGCAGCAGAGAGCACAGAGCAGCAGAGAGCACAGAGCAGCAGAGAGCACAGCAGAGAGCACAGAGCAGCAGAGAGCACAGAGCAGCAGAGAGCACAGAGCAGCAGAGAGCACAGAGCAGCAGAGAGCACAGAGCAGCAGAGAGCACAGAGCAGCAGAGAGCACAGAGCAGCAGAGAGCACAGAGCAGCAGAGAGCACAGAGCAGCAGAGAGCAGCAGAGAGCACAGAGCAGCAGAGAGCACAGAGCAGCAGAGAGCAGCAGAGCAGCAGAGAGCACAGAGCAGCAGAGAGCAGCAGAGCAGCAGAGAGCACAGAGCAGCAGAGAGCAGCAGAGCAGCAGAGAGCAGCAGAGCAGAGAGCACAGAGCAGCAGAGAGCACAGAGCAGCAGAGAGCACAGAGCAGCAGAGCAGCAGAGCAGCAGCAGCAGCAGAGAGCACAGAGCAGCAGAGAGCACAGAGCGGCAGAGAGTAACAGAGCAGCAGAGCAGCACAGAGCAGCAGAGAGCACAGAGCAGCAGAGAGCACAGCAGCAGAGAACAGCAGAGAGCACAGAGCAGCAGAGCACAGAGCAGCAGAGAGCACAGAGCAGCAGAGAGCACAGAGCAGCAGAGAGCACAGAGCAGCAGAGAGCACAGAGCAGCAGAGAGCACAGAGCAGCAGAGAGCACAGAGCAGCAGAGAGCACAGAGCAGCAGAGAGCACAGAGCAGCAGAGAGCAGCAGAGCAGCAGAGAGCACAGAGCAGCAGAGAGCACAGCAGAGCAGAGCAGAGAGCACAGAGCAGCAGAGAGCACAGAGCAGCAGAGAGCACAGAGCAGCAGAGAGCACAGAGCAGCAGCAGAGCAGCAGAGAGCACAGAGCAGCAGAGAGCACAGAGCAGCAGAGAGCACAGAGCAGCAGAGAGCACAGAGCAGCAGAGAGCACAGAGCAGCAGAGAGCACAGAGCAGCAGAGAGCACAGAGCAGCAGAGAGCACAGAGCAGCAGAGAGCACAGAGCAGCAGAGAGCACAGAGCAGCAGAGAGCACAGAGCAGCAGAGAGCACAGAGCAGCAGAGAGCAGCAGAGAGCAGCAGATCAGCAGAGAGCACAGAGCAGCAGAGAGCAGCAGAGCAGCAGAGAGCACAGAGCAGCACAGAGAAGCAGAGCAGCAGAGAGCACAGAGCCGGGAAAGGGGAATTTGGGCTGATCCAGCCTCCATCTCTCCAAAATCCTGGTTCCCGCCCTCCTCTGGGCCGCCGTGGGTCCCTGGGGTGCCAGGCAGAGCCGGGAACCGGGATTATGGGCTTTTCCAGCCTCGATCTCTCCAAAATCTTGGTTCCCGCCCTCCTCTGGGCTGCCGTGGGTCTTTGGGGCGCCAGGCAGAGCCGGGAACCGGGATTTCGGGGTTTTCCAGCCTCGATCTCTCCAAAATCCTGGTTCCCGCCCTCCTCTGGGCTGCCGTGGGTCCCTGGGGCGCGAGACAGAGCCGGGAACGGGGAATTTGGGTTTTCCCAGCCTCGATCTCTCCAGAATCCTGGTCCCCGCCCTCCTCTGAGCCGCCGTGGGTCCCTGGGGCGCCAGACAGAGCTGGGAACCGGGATTTCGGGTTTTTCCAACCTCGATCTCTCCAAAATCCTGGTTCCCGCCATCCTTTGGTCCGCCGTGAGTCCTTGGGGCGCCAGACAGAGCCGGGAACCGGGAATTTGGGCTTTCCCAGCCTCGATCTCTCCAGAATCTTGGTCCCCGCCCTCCTCTGGGCCGCCGTGGGTCCTTGGGGCGCCAGACAGAGCCGGGAACCGGGAATTTGGGTTTTTCCAGCCTCGATCTCTCCAGAATCCTGGTCCCCGCCCTCCTCTGGGCCGCCGTGGGCCCCTGGCATCGACGCCGCATTGCACCGCGGAGGCGGCGGCCGCCGCGGCGGCCGCCGCGTCGCAAAATCTTGGTTCCCGGCAGCCGCGGGGCGCGCGGGAGCGCTAGGAACCGTCGCGCACCTGGGTGCGCGCACGCGCTCAGCGAATTTCTGTCGAACGGCAGCAGCTTTCGTGCGAATCGTTTTCGCGCGGACGGCGGCCCCTCACACATATGAATCCGCTAGGTCCCCTACAGAGGCAAGTTCTGAGAGGGGAACAATCATATAATTCATGATACTACTACTAATACTAGCCATATTTTTTTAGTAATAACACTACTACTAATAATAGTAATCATGATACTTGGAATGATACTGATACGAATAGTAATACGACGAATGATATGAATAGAACAATAAGAAGACGAACAATAACAAGAAGAAGAAGAGGAGGTGGAGGAGGGAGAGGGGGAGGGGGAGGGGGAGGAGGAGGAGGAGGAGGAGGAGGAGGAGGAGGAGGAGGAGGAAAAGGTGAGAGGAGGAGGGAGGAGGAGGGAGGAGGGAGGAGGGAGGACGAGGAGTACGAGGCAGCGCCCCCCCCCCCATGGCCCTTGGGGAGAGCGGCCCGGGCGACCGCGGGCGCCAGCAGATGCAGATGCAGTCGGGCCCCTTCCCCCCCGGGCCGCCGGGTCCGCAGGCGAGCTTCATCCCGCGGAGGCCGGGCGCCATGTGCCGCCGGCCCCCAGACGATGACGATGGCGGCGGCGATTGCGCTGACGCCCCCGCGGTGCTGACGCCCTCGCGGTGACGATGGCGGCGGCCATGGCGGTGAGGATGGCGAGGAGGAGCGGAAATGACGGTGACACTGACGATGACGATGACGATGGGGATGACGATGACGGTGATGGTGTTGATGCTGATGATGATGCTGCTGACGATGATGATGATGACGCCGACGACGATGATGATGATTATAATGATGATGACGACGATGATGGTGATGATGTTGCTGATGGTGATGATGATGACGACGAGGACGATGACGATGACGATGACGATGACTATAACAATGACAAGGATGATGATGATGATGATGATGATGATGATGATGATGATGATGATGATGATGATGATAATGAGGATAATGATAATGATGATGATAATGATCATGATGATGATGGTGGTGGTCGTGGTGGTGTTGATTATGATGATGCTGGTGATGATGATGGTGATGATGATGGTGATGATGATGACGATAACGAAAATATGATGATGATCACGATTGTGATATTAACAACGATGACGACGGTGACGACGACGATGATGATGATGCTAATGGTGATGATGGTGATGCTGCGGATGATGCTGATGATGACGATGATGACGATTATGATGATGACGACGATTGTTCTCACGATGACGATGACGAGGGCGATGATGATGATGATGATGATGATGCTGATGATGATGACGATGACGACGACGATGATGATGACGATGATGATGACGATGATGACGATGATGCTGCTGATGCTGCTGATGCTGGTGATGACGACGAGATGATGATGATGATGATGATGATGATGATGATGATGATGATGATGATGATGATGAGTCTTATGAGGATGATGCTGATGCTCATGCTGATGATGCTGATTATCCTGATGATTATGGTGATGATTATGGTGATGGTGATGAAGGAGATGATGATGATGATGACGACAACGATGATGGTGATTATGAGTATGGTGATGATTGTGATAATGATTATTATGATGATGATGCTGCTGATGATGATGCTGATGATGATGAGGATGATGATGAGGATGATGATGGTGATGATGGTGATGATGATGATGGTGATGCTGATGATGACGACGAGGACGATCATGATCGTGCTGACGATAATGATGCTGATGATGGCGAGGATGATGATGATGATGATGATGTTGATGATGAGCATGTTGATGATGATGCTGATGATGCTGATTATGCTGATGATGATGGTGCTGATGCTGGCGATGATGATGGAGATGATGATGCTGATGATGATGACGACGACAACAATGATGATGATTATGAGTATGGTGATGATGCTGCTGATGATGATGCTGATGATGATGATGATCAGGTGGAGGAGGAGGACGAGGATGATGATAGTGGTGGTGGTGGTGGCGGTGGTGATGATGATGATGATGATGATGATGATGATGATGATGATGATGATGATGATGATGATGATGATGATGATGATGATGATGATGATGATGATGATGATGATGATGATGATGATGATGATGATGATGATGATGATGATGATGATGATGATAATGATGATGATGCTGATGATGATGATGATGATGATGATGATGATGATGATGATGATGATGATGATGATGATGATGATGGCCATGATGATGTCGGCGGAGACGGCAGTGCTACTGATGGTAACGACGTTTTCGTTTCGTGGATCGTTGGGACCATGTTTTCATTTTACATGGTGGTTGGTTGTCCGAGGGCCCGCCATGCCCATCCCCCCTCCCAGTGCCGAGGACGCCAGGAGCCCACCGCCGCGATTCTTCGTGAGGCCAGAGTTTAGCACGTTCCTTCCCGCCCCCCCCCCCCTCCCGCCAGCTGTGGGGGGGGGACCGCGGATGCCCGCGCCGATGGGAACTGGTCCGATGGTGCTCGGGAATCACCAATCCCCCGCCCCCCGCTCCCCCACCCCCCCCTTTCCCGAGGAGCTTGGGAATGGCGGGGGGGGGGAACACAGGAAAGGAATGAGGGATTGGGCGGGGAGGGCGGTGAGCAGGGACGAGGGAGAGGGGGAGGACTGAGAAGGATGGGCAGGAGGAGAGGGATGGGGAAGGAGGCGGAGAATGAGGAGGAGGAGGAGGCAGAACATGCGAAGGAATAGGAGGAGAAGGAGGAGGAGAAGGATGAGGAGAAGGAGGAGGAGGAGGAGGGAGGATGCAGGAGGCGGGGGGCGGGTGGGAAGAGGAAGAGAGGAGAAGGAGGAGGAGGAGAAGGAGGAGGAGGAGGAAGAGGATGAGGAGGAGGAGGAGGAGGAGGAGGAGGAGGAGGAGGAGGAGGGGAGGGGGAGGAGGAGGAGGAGGAGGAGGAGGAGGAGGAGAAACAGGAGTATGAGGAGGAAAAGGAGACGGAGGAGCATCAGGAGGAGCAGGATAGGAGGAGGCGGAGGCGGAGGAGGAGGAGGAGGCGGAGGAGGGGAGGAGGAGGAGGAGGAGGAGGAGGAGGAGGAGGAGGAGGAGGAGGAGGAGGAGGAGGAGGAGGAGGAGCGTACACCAACGATGCATCAGATCTGGTCCACGTCGCCCACCCCTCCGAAGTCCCCTCCTTGTCAGCCCAAACATGTGCACTGCTGGGAGTGCCCCCTTGAATGGCGAGCGTCCTATGGTCCTATGGTGAGTGGCGAGCGTCCTATGGTCCCATGGCGAGACGGAGATAGCATCCATACCTCCAGCTAGACGGACGGCGGCGATGCATGATCAATCAGTCCGAGAATGTGTCCAGTGAGCGCCGTCCGCAATCCGTGCGGACCACCTTCACGTTAAACCGCTTGTCCGCACAGCTGACTACGTCTCACACGAGGACCCCGATGTGAAACAGAGCCACCCTCCACCCGTGTAGCTGTTGCTCAGCTCCATGCCTCTCAGTTCGAACCAGAAGGGTTATGCGGTCCCAAACGGACATTCTATTTTGAAGCGGGACCACCTTCCATCCGTGTAGCCCATGAAACTGCTTACTGCGCACGCACGCGGCGATACGGCTGCAACCACGTTTCGAGCCATGTCTCCCCTCCATCCGTGCTAATGCTGCAAGCCTTTGGGACGACTTTGCGCGGCGCTAGGACGAGAGCCGCATGCTGAAACAGGCCCTCCCCCATCCGTGTCAACGGTGGCCGCGTGTAAGGTGAATGCGCGCGGCGCTAAGATGAGGGCCATCTTTTGACACCGCCTCGCCTCTGTCCGTGTAACGGTCGGTTCATTCCAAGCTTCGGGGCCACCCACGGGGGGGGGGGGGGGCGTATGCGGCGAAACCTCGAGCCCGCCTTACCGACGTGCTTGGTGGTCAGACGAGGGAGAATTACCTACACGGACACGGGATGGAGGAAGACTATTCAGAGAACCCAGCGACACCAAGACCGAAGAAGGGGTGGAGGAGGAGGAGGAGGAGGAGGAGGAGGAGAAGGATGAGGAGCAGCAGCAGCAGAGGAGGGATGATGAGGAGAAGGATGAGGAGAAGGATGAGGAGAAGGAGGAGGAGAAGGAGGAGGAGGGGGAGGGAGAAGGAGGAGGAGGAGGAGGAGGAGGAGGAGGAGGAGGAGGGATCGAGCGAGCGGTCGAGCACGCGAGGGGTGAAGCGAGGGAACGACAGGGAGGATGGAGGGGGGAGGACCGGTGATGGAGGACGGAGAGGGGAGGAGGAGGGAGGAGGAGGGAGGAGGAGGAGGAGGAGGAGGAGGAGGAGGGTGAGGAGGAGGAGAAGGAGGAGGAGGAGGAGGAGGGTGAGGAGGACTAAATTGCAGCTTCGACTAGGTTGGAAAATGATTGCCGCAGAAAGCAGACGGCCGCGAGATGACGCTGGCGAGACCTTTCCTTTGCAGCCGCACAACTGTTGGGAAACAATGGCAGGGTTAGAGATCACCAGAAGACCCACTGACTCCGAATCGTGCTTCTGGTGCAGGCCTCGTGAGATGCGCTGCCAGCTGTACCTACGACCTCGCATCTCGTTGCATTGTGCATCGAGTGGCTGTCAGGCCTCGAGCTTGGTCGCCACCCGAGTACGATTTGCACGTTGTGCAAACAGCGACGAGACAGCAGTCCGAGCAGTCGAAAGCGGCTGCCGTGTGTCCTAGATCCTCCAGAGCCTGAGCGTTGAGACCGCGGAGCCCATCGGGGCCAGGGCAGGTGCCCGCATGAGGTCTGATGCAGCACGATGTCCTCCAAGACGCACCGAGCAGCGCCACGAGTGCCCAACGCTGCACAACATGTGTTGAGGCCAGGCTTGACTTGGGCCAGTGGCCGGCTCCTGAAGCCGTGGCTAGAGATGCATGGCTTTTGCAGCTGGCTTCGCTACCGCTTATGCAGTGAGTATCTTCTTTTCACCCCCTTAGAGCTCGGACTGGGCATGGGAAGGTTTTGCTTATCGGCGTGCCAATAGCTTCAACGCAATACGTGTGTCTCCTCGGGCAGAGACCCTCTAGCTCCCAGTGCGCCCGCACCTTGGTGACCGACTGAACGTGCTGTGTGCTGGTGAATCGAGGCTAAATCATAAAGCCAGCGTGCGCACGCTTGTGGGAGAGTGCGAGAGCTCAGCCAAGACCCAGCTCGGAGCAACAGACTGGAAGTACTGTACATCGAGGTCGGACCATAGCCTGTACGTGACGGGAGCGAACACCGCAGTTGCCCCCCTCATTGGGTGGGGGTCTCGGGCCGGGAGTCCCAGAGGGGCCAACGGACAGAGTCTCGTTAGGGTCCCAGCGGGGTCCAGGACCTTGAGCAAATGCCTTGAACAAGAAAGTTTACCGTTCGAGGATGCGCCACCTATCTCCTCAGGACCGGCTTCAACGCCACCGTTCATCAGAGGCCGAGGAAGTTCGTTCAGATGCCGATGAAGTTCGTTCGCTGGATGCGTGAAAGCTGTCTGGCGAACAACAGGAGGTCTTCTGTGGAGTCGGCTGGTAGAAGCTCCTCAGTGAGGCGCTTGAGCTTCTCACCCAAGGTTTCCTGTCGGAGATCCCTCGCCGCCTGACAGCCCCAAAGACGATGCAGGACCGAGTCCGTATCCTGATGGCAGGGGGGGGCACATGAGGGAGTCTGGCTGGTATCCGAGCCTAGACGCACGCATTCTCGTTCCAGTATCATTGATTTCGGCAGCCCTAATGCTAGCCCTCTCCAAGAGCAAACATATCAAATATGTGCGTCGCTTTTTTTCAGCATGTCGACACATGCTCTCTCCTAGATCCTTTATTTGGTCGCCGCATCCATGTCCCACGCCTTCAAGACGTCCTGACGCGAAAGGGAACCGAAACGTTTCGGAGAGGTCAGCGTGAGAGAAATCGGGACAACAAGTCGTCAGTTTTTTGGTCCGTGGAGGAGTCCACCTTCCACCCAACCCGAGCGAGCGAAAGCTTGAGGGCCATCATGGTCCCATCGTCTATTCTTCAGGAGACCCCATCGGTCCGCGCTGAGCACCCGGCAAACAGTCCCGCATGCAAAAAGCAGATGTCCAGCGCGGAGCGAGTTGCAGGCCCCACGCAGCCAAACCAGGCAGGATCATCCTCCAAAATCGTAGGTCGCGACAAAGACCTCATTCTAGAGCTTCGCTTAATAGTCGAAACAGCTCCCCTTCTGAGATTCGGCAACTCATCGCCTGGCATGCCGAAAGCGGGCCACATACTGAATCTCAGGAATAGGCCCACAGGAACAGGTCTTGATGGTCTTCTTACCCATAATGGAGCGCTGCGTCTGGAGGCGTTTGACCTTCCTCATGAAAAGAGCCGTGCGACGCTGAAGCGTGTGAGACCTGCCCTGACGCCTGGCCAGTTCAGTGGTAGCGTCGACCCCTAGGTTGCTGGTAACCGACAGCTTAGGGCCAATCTCCAAGGTGGTCCTGAAGGGCCTTCGCACGCGCTGGGCTGAACGATACCATGAGTATCTTGTTTTCGGCGATGCGGGCCTCCTTGTCAATCATGATGGCATGGTGCAGCCAATCTTCTGCTCGGCAACGCTCCGCCGCCACCTGACTAGACCTGCCGACTGAGGATCAGGAGTTATATGCCGTCGATATAACACTCGAGTTTCGAGGACCCATCGCCTTTCTACGATTTGCAGTGCGCGTGTCTCGTTGTTCTCGTTAGTCCGTGAAGCGCGCTATCGGGATATCCCTCCTGATGGGCATCGGATTTGACGATATGTTTTTCCTAGTGTTAGTCGCGAAGAACACGAATCTCGTGGACATGGAGAGCGGTACGTTGTCTCACGCGTCGTTCGAGTAAACCCGAACACGTGCGGTGGCACAGCTACAGCCCGCCATGACCTCTTACAGGACAAACCACGGCCCGTGAATGTAACTTACGGTGGGGGCAGTGGTTAAGGAATGTGCCCAAAAGGCTTCAGACTCTGGATGATTCCTCACCTGATGAGGGCAGCAGTGGTATCCATTGCCAATCCACGATTGGAGTGCAACTAGCTTCCAGACCCTTTATTCCTTATCCAATGGTTCCTTATCCAATGCCCTCACCGTAGTATCGAAACGCATCTTGCACACGTATGCAAACATCGTGGGAAAGTGACGGTGGTTGGTGAGCCGAGACAAATACAAGTGGGTTCCAACTAGTCCAAGTTGAAAGAGGGCTCACAGTGTTCCTGAGTGTCCCGCAGGAGGCCTGCTGCTACGTCCCTGTCTGCCTTTCCTGGCTCTGGCTGCCTGTCTCCGCAGTGCGTCGAGCGCTCCTTGGTGGTAGTCTGCAGCAAAACACTGGAAGTTCATGGCAAAGCCCCCACCCAAGCATAGGTGGGCGTCTGACTCGGCCCCACAGCGGGTACAAACTGAACACATCTCAGATCGGTCGCCATCCTCCATGTTTCTGGGAAGGTGAAGTGCCAAGGGGATCTATGAGATAGATAACGATGG